ACAAAGATGACGACTAAATCTGCATTGTGCTTCAGGAGGCTGAGCCCTGCCTTTCCCAGGGATGCTCCGCACAATGCGGGGAGCAGGTACCCCCAAAAACCGAGCTCGCACCTCGTCCCGGGGCCTTCCCCAGACCCCCCCGCCCAGGTTTGCCCAAACGCTGAGGATGGCGATGTGTAATACCTGAATCCACACAGCCTTCGGAAGGTGTTTGAGGGAACAGAAGGTGGTTCTGGCTGTGGAGGAGAGGAAGCACCTCACGCAAAACACACAGCGATAAATCCAGGCAGTTTCTTTGTTAGGCTGAGCACTGAACAGACGCTCAGGAATTAAAGGTATCTGGGCTTCCAAAGACACCAGGATTTCCAGAAACACCTTCTCAGCTCCCCCTGAAATCCGTTTCCTTTGTGCTGAAGGCAGGGAGCACCTATGCAAGGAGCCAGGATGGGAAGAAGGGGCTGTTCACCATCCCTCCGTTACATGTGCTGGGTATCTCAGGGGCTTTTTTGGGCTGCCCTGGCTTTATTTCCCAGTTTTCTGGGGCTGAAACAGGGGAGGCAGGAGATTGGGATTGCCCCTTGGGATTTTGGCTGGTTAGACAGCTTGTGTGGGTCTGGCAAAGAGAAAGTGGCTGCAGTGTGAGTGTTCGGGAAGTTGGGGAGGGTGGGGCTATCTAGAAATCTTTGACTCACTGGGGTAACTCCCTGAGCACAGGAATCAAATTATTGCTCCAAGCAAACTGCATTTTATGAGCAGCAGCCTCAGAATGACATTCTGCATGCACACAGAGCTGGGGACAGCTAAAATAAACGCATGGAAATAAATATACGGTCCATAATTAAATTATTGGGTGCAATGCAGAAGTCTCTGGGTGATGGAAGAGGTGGGATTATGCAGCAAAATCAGTCTGGGGATCCACGGATACAAATTTTCTTATTTATACCGGCATAATCCTGATTGGCATCAGCCTAGATAGGGGAAGAATCAAACCCTGTGTACTGAAGGATCTAATCTTTGGGAAAAGTAGTCTGGATTAGTGACTGTATCTGCCAACCATCCTTTCACTCCCTTTAGAGTCCCTCACCACCGCTGCAAGACTTTGCCATCACACAGAGCATTTCACATCCATTGTCTCCTTATCTTCCTTCCCAATAAAAATATGCTTGATTTTTTTTTTTTTTTTACCCAAAGTTTTGTAGCAAACACATAATTTCTTTATACACTTTAGCCAAGCCTTTGGAGGATACTTATTTCAAGCAGTTAACACCTGACCCCAATTTTTGTGGGTAATTAGTGAGCTAGATAACCACACAAAATGGGTAATTATTTAGTACCCAAGGGTACTGTACAAGAGGGTAGAGGCTGGCGGTGTTAACAAAAGCACATCCCTAATTATTGCATCCACCCTGATGTTTTAAGAATAGTTACTTCCACCTAATGATCCATGATAAATCAGTAAACTCTTCTGCTTCCCTTAGCACGGGATAACCAAGGGCAGGATGGGAGGGCAAAGCCAACGGAAGGCACGACTTCAATTTGTGCGAGCTCCAGGAGAAGCCAGAGGAATCCCCTTGGAGAAGGCAGCGAGACTGGAAGTGCCTGATCTGGGACAGCCTGAAAACCACCCCCAACATCCACCAGGTTGGTTGGGAAAGCTGGAAAAGCCACATGGGAATTTTGTAGGGAATGCCTCAGGGTCTGCTCCTGGCTTAGGTAACGTGGCCGTGCTGATGGATCCTTGTGTACAACAACAACCTCCATCGGGTTCTCAGCCTTGCTCCTGGAAAATCCCTTTAAAGCACAAATGGGGAAGGTCAGAAATTGTGTTTGGGGAAGGTCAGAAATGCCAGGCAGCTGCACTAGGCTGGGGGAGGAAAAAAAAATCATATTTGATGAGTTTCAATTATCTGTCACCGCCGATGTTGATGCCACAATCACATTTCTCCCATGGAAAACACTGCATCCTCAGCAGGATTGCCCTCAAATTTAAGGATGAAGAAATGGGAACTATATTGAAATAGAAACTGAATAAGACTCAGTTGTTAAATCCACACAAACATCCCCTAGGCAGGTGTCAGAGGAGGGTGCCAAACTGGTTTTGGTGACAAGGCGAGGAGCAATGGCCAGCAAGTAAAACTCAAAGAGTTCCACCTCAACCTGAGGAAGAGCTTCCCACGGAGGTGGCAGAGCCCTGGAACAGCTGCCCAGGGAGGTTCTGGAGCCACCCCAGCCCCAGCTGGATGTGTCCCTGTCACTGCTCCAGGTGAGCCTGCCTGGCCAGGGGGGTTGTTCTGGGTGATCTCTGGAGCTCCCCTCTCACCCCAAACGCTCTGGGACTCTGTGAGAAAAATAATTTGGTTTTAATCAGCAGCACCACGTGATAAAGAAGTGTTTGCTGGAAACAGATCCATGACCTGAACACAAGAGCCCCCATCCCCTGACCACTGCTGGAGCACTTCACACTCACTTAAGGACATCCTCCAACCAAGGCATTACGCTCAGAGGAAAAGCACTTTCCTCTTTTAATTGCTTTTATGAATCACCACCGACATCCGGACACTTCATTTACTGGAGTCCAGCAACCCTGTTTTGCAAACACTCAAATTCCAAAATGTTAAAGGCTTCCAGGCTGGCCAAAAAAAAAAAATAAAAAATAGAGGTGTCATTCTGTTTGATTTGATCCCATCTTTGCATTTAATTCAAATGCTCTGGGCCAGGCACTACACAAAAAAAACCAAAACCCCACAACTGGCAGCATCACCTGGCCCTGTGACCACCAGGAACTCAAAACTTAAATAGAGAAAGTTTGAGGGGTTTCCACAACTTCTCATATTTCTCTATTGTTCTGTGGTTTGTTGGGTTTGGTTTTTCTTTTTTGAAGTGGAATAACCACAACTGAAAGAGGCCTGGAAATTGTTCTCATATTTAAAAAGGGGCCAAGTCTCTACAGTCCATTTATAAATAAATATAAATAAAATTGGTATCCCCTCCACTAATCCTCTCAGGGACATGGTTTGCAGGAAGTTCTTGCAGAAATGGAGCGAAAGAAAGTTTGCAGAGAGAAGCTGGAAAACAGAAAGGAAGAATGAATTTAATCATGGACACAAGGTCAAAGGAAGGAGAGACCTTGGTAGGTGCTGTTATAGCAGAAAGTAAATACAAACTATTACGATTTTTATTTTTTTTTCCCTCAGATCAATTGGAATTAGCAATTCAAAAGGGAAGACACACAGGAGAAGGGATGTTCAGCCAGGGAGGAAGCTTTAGGGACTTCAGCATTAACTAAAAAACCTTGAGGCCTTTTTGAGACCAGTCAATAACTTCACTCTGGGCAAAACAGACAGAGATCATTTAGGAAGCACCTTTAAAATAATGGTTACAGCTCAGCTGTAAGGACAGCATATATGAGAATAGTTTCCAAATTAATAAAGTGTCTTCCATGGAGTAAAAAAAAACCATTAGGTAATAGAAATTAAGAATTGAAATGATGTGAGGAAAGGTAAAATTCAGAGTGTGGGGCACTCTGGAAAGCAAAATGGACAAAGTTGTCACGATTTGGACATTTCCAGAATGGTGCTCTTGACAACCAAAAACTTCTAGTTTGAGCCCCACTGTTCTGCAGACCAATTCCACACCAAATCACTGAAGAAATCAATATTCTGTAAAAATGCAGAACCATCAGGACAACACTTACCACGTCCCTGGAGGGCTGGGAGTCCTTGGAAGAAGCTGCAGTGTCCAGATTGCTTTTGTCACCCTCACCTGATCCCCTGGTACTCAACAGAGAGGACAGCGTGGTTCAAAATCATCTCAGCCTCATTTCACCACCACCAAATCCTTTTCAGCAACTTTCCCCTCCAAACCAACAGATTTTGTCTCCCACAAGGACTAAAAAGTGATGGTTGGGTTTTCCCCCATTCCCCAACAGGTTCTCCTTGAGCTCCTACTCCACCCCTCCCTGGCTAATGGGGAAAAATTGAGATAATAAAGGTGAGAAAGCCAAAAAATGGTTGGATTTTAAGGTGGTAAAGCAAGGGAAAAGGCACCCAAACCCTTCAGATTTCACGTGGGTTCGAGGCCACCAAAAGTTTAAGACTCGATTCATTCTGAACATAAAAAAAGCTCCAAGAACCTCACTCTTATTTCAGATAAATCTGACATGATTTGGGGATATAATTTCGTAAGAGCTGAGGTTTCACACCAAAATCTGGCAAATTTTGAAATACATCAGTTACTAAGAGATGGAGCTGTATGAATATGTTACCCAACAAAGCCGCCACCAAAAAATGTCTGGTCAACATTTAATGCTTTTTTAAACTTTAACTCAAATTCCAATAGAATCATTGCATGAAAAGGTGGAGTCCCTCAATCAAATATTTTTTTCTTTTTTTTGTCTGAAATATCCAGTAAAAATAATACCTGTTGAGGCTGTTCAATTAGAGTTTAAACTGCTGAACCTAAATTCAACTTGCAGAAAGTTTAGGGACATTTTGGGAGTGTGGGCTGGCAGGAAAAGTGGAAAAATTAAATTAAAGGTCTATGAGACTGAGAAGAGCTAGAATGAATTGTATTTCAGTAGGAAAGGAGTGCTAGGGTCACTATGGAAAATAAAGATTGTAATTCCCAGATTGGAGGGCTGCAGTCCACAGATCCATTCCCATCTCCTCTGTGGAGTATTTTCTATCCTTGATAACATAATTACTGCACCCAAGAAAGGAGCTGGGACCCTGAGCCTTACTTCATGTCTGGGAAGAGCCCTGAGGGATCAGAGGGACCCGAGGAACCTCAAAGTGCTGAAATTCTTCAGCTTCCCCCAGACCTCCTGTCAGACTCCTCACCCTTCCCACCAGCACTGCTTTCTTTTTAAAGAGAGGGTGGAATTACTTAAGAGATGAAACCCAGACATCTTTCCCAGGTTTTCTATTACCACACCTGACACAATTTCAAAAAGAAGAAAATATCCCCAAAACATTTCTCACCAAAAAAATAAAAAAAAGAAAAGTCATGTTCCAGCCACTGTTTGAGAATGAAACCCAAGGGTAGGACACCAAAACATTTTCTCCAGCTGGTGGTGGGTGCAAGGCACCACTCCCTGCACAGGGACAGGCAGGAGCTGGCACAGACCCAGCCCGAGGAATCCCAACCCAGCCCTGAGGATTCCCAGCCTATTCCCAGCCCTGCGGCTCCACACGCTCACTGGGACTCTGAGTCTCTCCATCCCTTCCTCTTTCCTGCCTGCTTCATCCACCCAGGCTGCCAGCTCCTGGGGAAAGGGGATCTCTCCTCGCAGGGGAGACTCTGGGGTGCTGAGATATTTGGGTGTTGCTGTCAAGGAAAGGTCCGAGCTCTCCGGGCAGGGAATTCTGTCTGGACTTCACACCCCAGCTCGTGTCCTGCCACTCCACTGCTGCTGGGAGCGGATTAAAAACCAGGGAGCCACGTCTGGAGAGGGATGTGACAGACAGAATGAGTGTCAGGACCTACTCTGGGCCCAGCAGACACCGCTCAGTGTCTGCGTGCCAGAAATAGCAGCGGGAGGCAGGCGCTGCTCCCGGTGCCCCTCTGCACTTCTGCATCGCTTCACTGCAGGCTCTGCTCCACCCTAAACTCACAGCTCCTCCTGCTTATAATGCAAAAAGACAGCCTTAACACTTCTAGGACATGCAACGTGAAGAGAACAGGCAGAAAAATCTGAATTGCAGCTTGTTTACTGTGATAATAAATCACGTTAGGTAGGATTTTTAATGTGCTGTAATAACGTTCTAGAGCCGACTGCATAAAAATAGTTTGGGATGATTAATTTGATCAGTGTTAATTCTGTCAAGCTAAAAAAGGTGTCAGCTCAGAGACAGCCCATCAGAAACATTTCTTCCCGGTGTGATCCTTGCAATTCCAACATGAGTGTCTCTGAACAGCTCATTCAGGATCAGTTCCTCTGCCTTTACAACTCCCCTTAGGAGGAACAAGGACCTCTATTTTATAGGCAGGGAATGGAACCAAAGGAAAATAAGTGACTCATCCCAGACCCCACAGGGAGTCCACAGCAGAACTTCTGGGCCTGCACCAAGGGCTTAATAAAGAAAAATAAATGGTTTCACTCAAAAGGTAGAGGCTGTGCAGTCTTTGCCCCATCAATAATAAACCAAGACAAGCCCCATGAGCTGCACAAGAACATGGGACAAGATTAAAATGACAACCTTCATCCACCCGGTGTCTGCAGGAAATCCAAACTGAATTCCCAGAGAAAGCCTTCCCAAGCCCACCTTTACCTGGGATAACTCAGTAAAAACCCCTCATTCTCCCTCTTTGACCCACATGGGTGGTCCCTGCTCCTTGCTGGAGCTGCTGGTCCACGTGAAGCCAAGCTCAGCAGCAGCTCCCGAGCGATTACTTGATCACTTTTCCTGCTTAATTGCCAGTTTTAATTACTCGCATGGCAACAACAAAAAGTCAATCTGGCAACGGAAATCCATTCTTTGAACAACTTCTGCCTCTTCCCTCAGACACAAACTATTGCTCTATAAGCCATTCCTGATTAATAAGGGGCCCTCGTGGGAAAGCCACTGGATTTCATTTCCTTCAGCTGACAGCCCCAAGTCCCTAAAAAGCAAGGGCAAAAGAACCTTTATTTTATCATGGCTAGATGACACTGTTTTTCCCCTTGCCATTTTCCTTCAGGAAGATATATTAGCACTACATTTGCTCCTCCATGTGGTGGGATTTCTTAAATAAAAACGTATGTTCTGTACGTCTGAGCTTGGAAGCAGAGCTGCATTAGCCTGTTAACCATCCACGTTTGCTTCAGACTTGGCCAGCCACCTAGAAAACCTGCCAAGACCTCTCTGGCAGCATTTTCCTCACAGTTCCAGGAAAACATGGAATATTCAAAGAATTTCAGGGCCTCCCGGCTTCGTTTGTCACCACTCTCCTTGCCCACTTAGAGCTAAATCACAGGCAAATTGCTCTAATGCCCTATTAAAGATTTAAAAATGGCCTTCTCCAGAGGAGGGGATCTGAGGACAAATCTCTGCTGATATATAATGCAAGAGCCCCGTGTTCAGATGCGATGCAATGTGGCAGGAGGCAGGCAGGGAGCTGCTTTACAATCCTGCAACTTCCCAAGGGAGTTCTGTCCTGTTCGGAGCTTTTAAACCTCCCTCAGCTACCCAGGAGAAGGAGAGGTTGGTTTTGTGCTTGTTGTTATTCCAGAAATGGCTTCAGACTGACACAGGGCAGGGTTAGATGGGATTTGGGGAATAAATCCCTCCCTGTGAGGGTGGGGAGGCTCTGGAATGGATTTCCCAGGGAAGCTGTGGCTGCCCCTGGATCCCTGGCAGTGCCCAAGGCCAGGCTGGACGGGGCTCAGAGAAGCCCAGGATAGTGGAAGGGGGTAGAATTAAATGATTTTTTAAGTTCCCTTCCAACCCAAACCATGCTGGGATTGTGAACCCATTGAGATCTCAGAGTAAGAGGCAAACCAAAAAGTGAATTTCCAGCAGAGCTCATCACTCCTGGGGCTGAAGGCAGTGCTGCTGAAGACAGGCTGAGTGTCACTGCCACAGCTGGACTGAGGGACACGAAGGTGACACAAATGGCATTGGTTCCATAACCAAAATTCCCAGCAGAATCCATGGGAATGGCACCTGGAAACATTTCCTTCACAACTGAAGCCAGCAGCCAGCTCCTTCTAAAGAGGAAAATCCTGAGTGAACAAAGTCACTCCTAACCAAGAGCAAATAGTGGCCCAGAGAAAAAGGCTTTAAATCATTTTGAGAGGTTTTTTTTTTTCCTTACAGAGAATAAAACCTCCCTGGGATTTCAGATGTCAAGCAGACTTTTCTTGATTCCCAGCACTAATTTATGGATTAAACATTTAACCCTTGTCTTGAGTATGGATTGAGAGTTCCCTGTTGCTGACAGCTGAGTAATAAACTAAATATAAAAACTGATATAATATTAAAAATAGTGTATTTATAAGACACTATAACCCATATTTTCTTATATTATGAAATTATTATGATATATATTATTAATATAAAAATAAATATGATATTTCTGAGCAGTGACTTCAATCTAGAGCCTCTGACCAGCCCTGATTCAGCAGCCTCACTGCATCTCCACTAACACGGAATGCACTGGACACTGACTGCATCTTTTCCATTAACACCTCCCCTGATTAACTCCTCTCTCAATAATTATTCTCACATGCAAATGAAGGCAAGCACGTGACTGAACTATCTCAGGGCTCTTATAAAATCCCTTCCTTTCCCACTTCAGAAGGGAAGGGCACTCTAAAATCAGCTGTAGATCTGCAGCAGAGAGCAGTGGAGCCTTCTCTTCTTCCTTTCCAATTTTCTTCATGTTTTCCCTTTTTCCCTTTCAATTTCCTTCCTGTTTTCCCTTCTTCTCTTCCAATTTCCTTCCTGGTTTCCCTTCTTCCTTTTCAATTTCCTTCCTGTTTTCTTTTCCCGTTTCCTTCCTGTTTTCCCTCCTCTTCCTCGTTCTTTTTCAAAAATCCCAGCCTCCCCATCCTTTGTGGAAGGCAGTGCAGAGCCAAGGGGGCTCTGAGGCACCTGCCAGGCTGCAAACACCACTGGGAGCCACTCTGGGATGCCACGGCTGCTGTTTGTTGTCAGAGGAGATGAGAGGCCACTTCAAACACAAGCAAAACAAACTTCTCACTAAAGCCACATCAGTGCTATTAATCCGGGAATGGGTTTGACCTGCTGCTTGCAGCAATTCCTTAAATCTCACTTAAGCTGAGGAGCACAAAGGGGCTGCCTGCGCTCGCCAGGAACTGTGGTGACCCCAAATCTCACACCAACCTGAGCTGCTGCAGCACAAATCCCCAGCCAGGGGGGCTTGGGAGCGACCTCGCAGTGAAAGGAGGGTGGGAAAGCAGAGCCAGGTGTGACCCTCACTGCTCCTGAAACTTCTGGGACTTGTGGTAATGCCAGGCTTACAAGAAATCTGTTTCTTGAGGAGGAAAAAGGCCACAGCCCGTGTTTAGGGGCAGATCTGTGGCCTGGCTGAGCTGGGTTTTGTGCCCAGCCCTCCAGTGATGCTCTGTCTGGCCTTGGATGTCCCTCCCCTCCCTCTGCCAGGAATTCCTTCCTCTGTCAGGAATTACCCAGTGCCACACGTCTGAGGCATTGCCATGGGCACTGCAGCACTCATGCTCAGCCTGTGAGCCCAAGGGAAGGGAAACATCCATCCCCCTTGGCCTTTATTTGGGAATTACGTGGGAAATTGTGCACTCAGTGCTTTGGAGGAGCCATGAGGAGACTGGGCCATGCTCCAGACTTCCCCAGCCTTTTCCCCCAGTAGTGACCAGAATTAGCAGCTTTGGACAGCCCAAATCTGCCCTTCCCACTGTTCCCCTTCTCCTTCCCACTGTTCCCCTTCCCCTTCCCTGCTCTTGGGTTGCTGCTTTTTATCCCAAACTTTATGGAGTCTAAGCTCAGTTCCAAAGTTATTACAATGAACGCCCATAATTCTGTGTATGGCTATTAAAAACGTAAGTATCTGATCTGTTTTAGACTTGCAAAGTTCCCATTAACTTCTAAAAGCAATTAGGTTCCTTTTTCTTTTAATTAAATACTGGTGGAAAAAGAAATGCTTCATAAAACAGCTTCAGTTTGTCAGTATTTAATTTCACTACACATCTCCTTGCACTCACTTTGTGAAACTCAGAGATTCCCAGTCTTCCTCCTCAACATTTCTTTTCCTCAGAAGATCCATTTGCTTTTTTTTTCATTTCTAGTGGGAATGGTTGAGTGGATCCATTTCAGATCTAACTCTGCTTTTTGCTGGCACCTTTTTAGCCACTTTTTGTCCTCTCAGATTTGGTGGAACAGCTCCTGTACCATTTTAGTGTCTCTGGACCCAAAATTTTCCCATTAGTGTCAAGCAGAGGTTTATCCACTCCCATTTTATAAGAGGGACGAGGCCTAAAATGTCCATAAAAACTAAAATTCATGGCTTGAGTTATAAATCTACTGGATGTAAGAAAAACAAGCAGCAAAGTCTGGTTGCCCACCAAGAATTCAATGATTCCTAGAAGGGGTCAGGAGTGGAGGTGATGGGAAGGAGGAGCCACTGCTTGTAAGAGAGAAGGAAGAATTTCAACTTCTTTCCACATCTGCCCCAGAAACCTGATTCTTGAACTTGTTTCACCAGGAAACAGGGCCATGACATTGCACAAAGAGGCCAATTTCACCCTATAGCACATACAGGTGATTTGCTAGGGGAGAATACATTTTATATTTCCAATGTACAAATCTAAATATACCCAAGTGGAGGGATGCATTCCCAAATATTTTGGATTTTCCTCTGCTATGGGAAATTTCCAGACATGAGATTTTTTTTCTGTTCCAGTTTGCTTTTATTGCTGAAACCCTGCCGGTCCAACACTAGAGTTATGAGTTTGTCCCTGACTGAAGCCTGGGTGGACACAGAACTTATCCCAAAAACTCACACCAGAAATGCTGAACTTGGCTTCACACCTAAATCCCCAAGCTGTGAAGAAGGAAAAGTGGGAGTGAGAAGGAGAAAGTTGGTTAAAGGAGAGAGATTCCCATCTCTGCTGTGGCCTCTGTTCATCTCCAAATATTGAGCTGCTCCACACCAGCTCATCCTTTCACTGAGAATTGCAATCAATGTCCCCACCTCACTGGAAGGACATCTGTGATTAAAATTAGAATTATTTTTTTATTATATTATAATATTATAAATAAATAATATATATTTATTTATATATATTATATATATAATTTATTATAAATGAAAATTAGAATTAAAAATTGATTAAAATTTTATACTTTTAAGCTCTGACACACATACACAGAGAGAGAACTTCCCTCTCCTGGCATCCCCACAGGCGTGAGGAGCAGCACTTCTGAGCTCTGAGCTCAACTGTCTTATTTTTAACTGTCTGATCAGCTTTCAGGCAGGAGCGTGTCAGGATCCAGATTAATTCATGCAGAACCCCATCATCATCATCATAATTTAGCTCCTAAGGTTGCTGTGCTTGGAATTCCAGTTATGACAGGAATTCTATACATATTACACAGATTTAGAAATGTCATCAATAGAACACTTAGGGCCTTATTCATTAAACAATGAGTCATTCTGGCATTCCACTCCATCTCATCCCAGTCCTTACAGAACTTTTATGTACAAATCTGACTCTGCTTCGTGCATCTGATTGAGGAGGGTGGCAGCAGAGTTTCAGCTGGGTGTGGAAATAGATGGAATTTACTGGGTAAAAATAAAAAAAAGAAGGGAAAAATCCCTCTAATGATGAAAGTTTGATCTTCCACAAACATCAGAGCCATGTGAGAACAGAGAAGCAAGAGAAAATCTGCCATGAGCACTACTGTGAGGATCTTCTTGCTGCCCAGCAAGCCAGAGGAATAAAATATTTCAGAATACAACACTTGAGTAGCAATTCTGGGCAGATAATTTCAGTGGTGCTCTACAAGAGGCTTAAAAGCTTCCCTTAATATGCACTTTACAACTGTGGCAAACTAATGGTGGTGCAAGACCACAAAATATTTCCCAAATCATTTCCCTAATGACCTAAAGCTTTCAGATGGGCTGGCTTTATTTTCTGTGTGAGATTTAAATGAGGATTGAGTTGAAAATTAAAATATTAAGCCAGAGCAAGAGCTGTCACCTGTCTCTCAGGAATGCACCTGTATTAGTGCAGAATGCCTACACAGCAAATACAGGATGATTTTTTGGGTCAGCACTGACTTCATCTAGGCAGAGCACATCCAAATATCAGGTTTTGCCATGCTCTAGAAGCTGGAATACAAGGTTTTTAGGGATGCACTGGTTCCCAGACTGTGGGAGTTCAAACTGCTGTCATTCAGTCCAGGTAAACTGGGATACGCTACAAAATACTCTGAATTTTTTAACAGAGAGATCTCAGCACAAATGACTATTTTACCTTCTCTTTGTCCTTTCCTGGATGCTGGATGCATGGCTGGGATTTCTGGGTGTGTGGTTGGGATTTCTGGGTGTGTGGCTGGGATTTCTGCAATTCCTGAAAAGCTGGAGCAGAACAGCCTTGGAAGTCACTGCTCTTCTGTCAGGTCTGTTTGGGATTAGAAAAGAGTCTCAGAAGTTGTTGGGAAGAAGGAAGGCACAGACACAATTGTACACAAGGCAAACGAGCTGTCCTTTCATTGGAAACCATTCCAAGACCTCATAATTCCTTGGATGTTTGCAGTTTCCTTCACTACACATGGAATTATCAGTGCCTATTTTTGGTCTTCATCCCTAACAAGTCCCAGTAAATTTGGAATCCATCTCACCACATTTCCTTGGGCATCTTCTCCCTCGTGGCAAGGAAAGTTCAGTTCCCTCCTCGTGGTCCATGAGGGAGAAGAGGGATGGAAGTGGAGTGTCCCATCTCCTCTCCATGAATTCCCTACCCAGGCTGTTTCTGGTCCTTCACTTCACGTTCAGGGACCCAAAACAAGGACAAAGTTTACATTTCCCTATCTCAGGGCAAACACTTTTCCAGGAGGTGAATTGTTTCTTTCGCATTTTACATTCCAGTGGAAACATTCCCTGAAAAACAGTTGCTATCTCCCTGGCTATCCACAGGCTGAACTGAACAAAAACTGGGAATGGAACCCAAGGAAAACAGGACACTTTTGTGCCTTCGCTGCTCGAGCTGAGCGAAAACAAAACCAGCAATTAAAGGCAGCGCTGGGGGTGAGCCACCTTCCTTTCTGCTTCCTCCTCTCCTCATTTACAGCTCCTGAGTTGTTCCTTTCCTCGTTGCAAAAGGTCCATAACTGTAACACTGCCACGTTCTCCTGGAAATCTTCTTAAATGGCACATGATGGAAGCCATATGATAGGAGCTTAATTACATAGGGGGCATATGGAAGGCATATGACATAGGGACATATGGAAGGCATATGATGGAAGGGCATCCGAGGACATATGATGGGAGTCTAATTAATTGACAATACATTCCTCTCATCAGGGGGAGAGCTGGAATGCTGTTTTGTTCAGAGGAAAAATATGCACATTGAATTATGCTCACCACTGACCATTCTCCTTTTTAATTATGATTCCTCGGGTTTTGGAGTGGGATGGAACTTTTTTTCATTTACATCTCACAGCATTAACATCAAGATGTGTTTGACAGGGTTATTATAAATTGTTTTTGAACCTCCTGAAGTTTTGAGTGTGCAGAGCAAATCTGAAATGTTGCCACCAAAAAAAAATTAAAAATAAAAGAGCCTGTTCTTATTTGGGATTATTCACACAGCTGCTCCTAGAGAAGTCCCAAACAGGTTAAAAAAACCCAACCCTCATGGAAAAAAAACTCTGGACAGGAATCAATGCAGCTGAAAATTTGCACTTCCATCTGCAGAAAGATTTATGGGGGGGGAAATAAGGTAGTGCCTAGAATGTGCCAAGAAGATTCCTCATTTTTTAACTACCTGCATGTGTTTGGGGCATGTGCCTTCCTGAAACACAGAAGCAGCCTTGTGTTATCCCAGATCCTTTCCTTGTCCTGAGGAACTGCAGAGCTATAAACCATGGCAGTGATACCTGGAACCCTTTGGAAAGCAAGATGGGATAAAATCCCATTAATCCACTCTTGGAACAACTCGTAAGTGAGCCCTGAGTAACCCTCACAGCTTCTCTTTGCATTCAGCAAACAGGGATTTGCAGCTATTCAAGTTTTTAAGGGCCATTTTACCCGGAAAAAAACCAAACAAAACCAGCCGGAAAAAAACCAAACAAAACCAGTTTTCTGTGTTATTTAGATGCCTTGAAATATCATTATCATGTTCACACTTTCAGATTAACCCAGTGAAATTAACCCAGTGCCTGCTCCTTATTTTTATTCGCTAAATGAACAAGTTTAGGAAGAGACAGAGCCTGTTATTTCTGGGAACTCAGAAAACCTTGCCAGAATTACTCAGAGAGAGAGTGAAAAGATCTAAGTTCAGGTCCTGGGCTCTGACCAAGGGTTGTGGCCACCACCTTCACCCAGGCCCCCAGAGGACCTGAACCCTGAGCACTGCCAACATCAAAATGTTCACTTTTCTGTTCCAGCTTGAGGAGAGTTTCAAGGCTTGTTCAGGTCTCCAATATTAAAGCAAATAAAACCAAGGATTTCAGCAGCAGCTGGGTAAATTGGATGTTGCCAATTCCCTGCATTTTAGACCTGTAAAACACATCAGAAATGTGGGGTTTGTTGGTCCCACAGCTTCTCCACAACGTTTGGGGTGTTCCAACTGCTGTGAGGGAGAAGCAAACCAGCCCTGCTGGAGGCATCAACCTCTGAAACACCCAACTCTGATGTACAAAACCCCTAAAAACCCCCATTTTAGCTGAGTGTATTCCCCCCTGGATATTCCCAAGGAGGAGCTCTCCTGAGGGCTCTGTAGATTTAGGTACTTTCACCAAAACCCTCCAAGGCTTTATCAGGAAAAATAATTTTATTTAATTGTTTAACTTGTTTAACAATTATTTAACTTGTTTAACTCCCAGGGCAGAATTAACTGAGCCAGACAAAGACTGATGGAAAAGGGGGAAAAAAAAAAATACAGGATATTTTTACCTTTGGAGATTCTACTTGCTGACCACGAAGGCAAGAACACTGAGAGGTTGCCATGGTGCTTTTTGGGAATGTTAACACCACGCTGCTCGAGGGCTAATGAAGGAAGACAAACATCACTGGATTTGCTAAAAACTCAATAACACAGCACCGACAAATAGAGAAAAAAAAAACCCCAAAAAAATGCTGATAAGATGAACATTTTGATAATTCTAACGAGGCAGAAGGAAATAAAAAAAGGTTTTTCCAGCTTGTCTTACCTGCTCTTTCCTGTTCCACGTGTCCAGAGCAAAGAGTGCTGAGGATTTATGGTCGCTCCTGGCGCAGGTGTGTGCAAGACCCAAGGAAAGCTAGGAGGTTGTACAGTTATCTCCCTTGGTGTAATTCTAAACTATACAACCTACTACCTCAACCTGGATGCATGCAGTCAAAAATTCATAATCTCAGGGGCTTCTAGTTACAAAAAAAAAACCAAAAAAAAAAAAACCCCTCCAAATCCTCAGTGGTTTAATTTAGAGGGAATAAACTGCTGGGGGAAAGACACCAAGCCCAAAGTCAGCTCCCCACAATGGAAATGTGATAAGACACAACAAGCCAGGGTTGTTCCTGCTGGATTTGGACAAGATCACGGAGGTTTTCACATGAGATGGAATTTTTTTCCCTGCCTAAAAGAATGGTGTTCCCCTTCCACAGCAGATTCAGAACATACACAGACATACTTATTTATTTGTTTTAATAAAAAAAGGCATTTAAAGAAGGTTTAGGGTAAAATCTGTCCTTTCTGAACAGACCACACTGAGCCTGGATGTTTGAAGGATGTGCAGGAATGGGCTTGGGAGAGAAGTGCAGAAATCCTGAGGTGAATTTGACCCTCACCCCAAAGGGTTCAAGTGAACCATTGTGGAAAAGCACCACGAGCCTCCCTCAGCCACGTTCCCTTCACAAGACACGTTTTTAACCTGCATTAATTCCCAGCTGGGATGTGATCCTTGTGACTCACCCCAGCACCCACCAAGGTGGTGTTTAAAGCAGCAGGCTTCTTGTTAATTGTTTATTATTATTAGTATTAGTAATAATAACAATAATATTAATTATATCAATAATAGTATCAGAAATACTATTGATAATATAAACAATATTAATAATTTTAATTTAAAAATATTATATAATGTAATATAATGTAATATAATGTAATATAATGCGATATAATGTGATATAATATGATATAATATAATATGACATAATATAATATGATATAATATAATATGATATAATATAATATAATGTAATGTAATATAATATAATGTAATGTAATATAATGTAATGTAATGTAATATAATATAATATAATATAATATAATATAATATAATATAATATAATGTAATATAATGTAATATAATATAATATAATATAATATAATATAATATAATATAATATAATATAATATAATTACTACTACTACTAATAATAATAATAATAGTAATAATAATAATAATTCCTCCCCAAATGTGCTGGTGGGGCTGGAGCAGGGCTGGGCTGGTGCCCCTCAGGTGAATCCAGCCCCTGGCACAGCAGCTCCCTGCTGGAAGGGGATTCCAAGGGAATCAAACCCCAGGAATGGGTGCTGAGCTCTGCTGAATGCACGTGCTGCTCTGTTTTCCCAGGATAAAGCAGAACTTCCTGCTGATGTTGGAAAAGGCACTGCCCTGCCTTCACAGCCAAAGGCTGGCAGGAAATAAAGGAGGAAGATGGGAAAGAGCATCACTGTTCAGAATTCAGCCTGCAACAGCAGGAGAATACACTGGGAAAAAAGGAAAATAACCTTTGTGTGATGTCAGGACGTTGATGGGATCCCGATTTCTTGTGAGTCCATATTCGGTAAAGTTTACTTGGACCAAGGAGTGGAAATCCAGCATATTTCAGTTAACAGCACACAGCAGAGTCACTGGAACTGTCTGATGATTAGTTAAAGCAGTGACCAAGGCACAGCTCTGGATAAGGAAATTATGGATTTCTGGCCCTGGACTCCAGCCAGGAGCTTTTTCCTTGTCTAAAAGCATCCCAGACCCAACTCCTTGACATAAAATCATCATCTCTGTGCACTGAACAGCTTTTCTCCAACATGAAATCTAATTAATTAACTCAAGCAGTTTTATGGGAGGGAGTGAACCTGTGTGCTGAGTCAGGCTGATGAAAAATCCCAAATCCTACCCAATCTCTGGGCCACAGAGCAAATTCCCACTCAGACTTCCAGGAACAACCTGTTTCACATCTTGCAGCTATAAATGAAACCACTGCAGGATCACACAGCTAAACCACTCGTTTTCTACAACTTACACCTGCAAGTATTTTTCTGCACCTCAATCTTGTAATACCTAACATTCCATAATTGAAATTTTTGAAGTTATTACCTATATCTGATCAGTTTGATGAGAAGGTGCTGTTAACACTGAGACTGACACAGGCACCCCTTGCACACCAGGCAATTAAAAGCAGAGCAAAAAAACCCAAAAACTCTCCAATAATTTGCTCTAAAATGGAAGGTAGGGAGAGGAAGAGAGTTTTGTTTCAGTCAGATACTCAATTCAGCAAAGATCTTTTCCTGGATTAATTCCTTACTTTAGATTTAGGCCAAATTAACCCAAGTTTTTCTCAGGCTGGTCACTGCTAATGACTCCCTACCTCTCCTTGCTGCTCTTCCATCTCCACAAAGAGTCTTCAAGAACTTTCTTAAGACCAGAAAAATTTCTGTCCTAGGGTTTGACACCTAATTCACTCTCTGGGGTCAATTTTTAGGCTCCTCTCCATCCTGCTGCACGAATTATCCTGGCAAATTTCCCCCATTTACGGCACTCACTACAGGTGTTTTATTCCCTCCAAGCTTGGACAGCTGAAAGTGTATTTGCATCCCAGAGGAACTGCAATTTCCAGCAGGAGAAAAAGTGACAGGCATTCGAGTCACGCTGCCAAATTGAATATCTGCTGCTAATAACAATAGGAAGTGCAGAGTTTAGGAATTGAGATTAAATATTCCAACAGGAGCTGCTCTCACTGCCATTATTTGTGTCCCTCCGTGTCCCTGCTCCGGGGCTGGGAGCTCTGGGAGCAGAGCAGAGGCAGGCACAGCTCTCCTGACACTTCCTCGTGGTGCCACCGAGCTCCCTGTTTGTTTTCTGGTGATTTTTGTCAATTATGTCTTTACCCAATTAGCACAATCATACCTAATTACGCAATTAGGGAGAATCTGTAATCTAATGACAATGTTCAATTGCGATACGTTATCGATGTCGGGAAGTTCCCGTTGAACGTGTGGAGCTCTGTGCTCCTAAATCAGCTCACGGGGCCCCAGTGCCTTTTGTCTGGGACCCCTTTTAGGCCTCTTGCTGCTTCAGAATCCCAGAAATGATTTCACACTTCTGGGGACAAAAGGGAATCTCTGGCCTCGCCCAGCCCAGCCTTGTTTTAAAGCTACAGCGTAATTAAAAAATTGTGTCTTTTCACTGCGTGTAACTCTGTGATTCCTGAAGGAAATGTGACTCCAGCTGCTGTCCTAGCACAGAAATGCTGGGGTTCACATCCAGTCAATTTTTATTTTCCAAAGGAGAGAGAATGCCCCTGGGGCAGCTCTCCTCAGGCTCTCCTGCTCTGCAGCTCCCACCTGCCCATGTCCCTGACCGCAGGAGACACCAGCTCTGAGCTTTAGTCTGGACTAAAGGGAACTGTTCACTCCTCGCTGGTTTTATCTCCTCTTCCCTTCACAGGCTTCAGGTGAGAGAAAAATCCACAAACTTCTTCCCCTACCCACATTTCCTGCTGAATTCCCCCAAGAGTGAGGTGAGAATCCCAAGCCAGAGCTGATTTTTGGGAACTGCCTGGTTGGAATATCCCACTCCTTTCAAACATCCTTCAGCCTAAAGCAGCGATTCAGTCCCACAGGGGTGCAGAGGGCAGAATATTCCCAAATAATGACATAAAACAGTGCCTCATGCATTAATCCCCTGCACTACATCACACTTCCTATGCATTTACAGACCCACTGACTTTGGACAGGATTCCAGCAATGGACACTCACTACAGATGGTCAGAAAAGCTGAGTTTTGTCTAGTTATAATCAGGAAAATCATCAGCTGAGGTTCAGCTCTGAACCTTTTGGGCTGGGAACGATGCAGAAGAAGAAGGAAGAACCCACCTTCCCTCTCAGATCCTCCTTGCCAAGGAGGGGGTGGGAGAGCAGCAAATCCTCCCGAAGCAAATGCATTTCCTTAAGTCATTGAGCAAAAAATAAATACAAAAACCCCACAAATGCCATCGTTCCAGCTGGAGGGCTGAGATCCTGTTTGCCAAATTTCAGCCTGGACTGACCTTGTATTATTTTTTTTTTCCATTTTTTTTTCCCAGCTGATTTTCATAAACCTCAGACAGGAGGGGGTTTCACCCTGGAAATGCTGACGTGATTCCTGCTGGTCACGTCACTCCTTCAGCTTTATTTGGTGAAACTTTACCAGAAATTGGTTGTAATGAGGAGCCTCAAGAGGTTCAAAGGTTTACCCCAGCTCAGAGAGCTCTCCTAGAAGTCTGGCAAACACACTAAAAAGGGCTGGAAGTCCAAGAGGCTGCGAAGTAGGGGAAGAAGCCTCATCTAGGCTCAGCTGAAATCCAGAACAAGTAAATATTTTGAAAGCTCTCCAAAATTGTTCAATGCATGACAAAAACCCTGCCTCAACTTTCAGCCAGGGCTGCTGCAATCTGAAGGTTTGCTCAATAGAACATTTCAATCTCTGGGCCTTTCTAGGGGAAAGGTGGCTCTCACTCCTGAACCAAAATGTGCCTTTTGAGAGGAGCTGGGGCATCAGCTCTGCCTGAGACAAAACCTGAACCCCCTGTGCTGCATCTAAACAGAGAAGGTGGCAAAAGTACTGACTCTGAATGACCCCAAATCTGTTTTTTGGGGATTTTTTTTGGTTTATCCCAAGCCTGCTTTGTGACTGAGACCCTGCATGGTCTGGACCTGGAGCCGAGGCTGGTTTCACCTGCGCGCTGAAAAATGAAGGAGCTGACAGGAAGCTGAACCAAAACCTGGTGTCAGTTCCAGGGTGGATTTCTGGGGCTGGATTTCACCAGGAACCTGCAGAAATACAAGCAGAGGCTCCCCAGCCCAGCTGGAGCACCTCCAGCTCAGGGAATGCCACTCCTGCCATGCTCCTAAGCCATGGAGCATTCCTGGCTCTAGGGCAGGTGCCCAAGCCCTGGATCCCTCCCCTAAAAATCCTCTCCTGATTTTCTCTCTTGTCTCCTCCCTTACTGATTAGAAGCAAATAAACAAAAAGAGAGGGAGGAGAGAGGAGGGGGGAAAAAAAAATCAGATTACTGAAATAACCAGAATAGTGAAATTTATCTGCCTTTTAAGAGTTTAACCAGATTTGATTATCTGAATAAGGGTATTTGGATACGGTTCAAATTCCAGGGTACACAATTCCATTCTGCTTATCACGAATCCCATTTGCCACTGCATATGGTTATTCTAATTACCAGGGTGCTATTGTGTGCTCCTCACCAGGCTGGGAGAGGAGGGGACACACAAATAAATTCCCTTTTCATCCCTCAGGGAGGACCACGAGGCATCCTTGTGTGCAGGAGACCTTACAGGTGCTCTCAGGCAGCAACAGGAGGGAGAAATCGCCAGGATATTTTGAGAGAGAAAAAGAAGATTTACAAAATATTAATTATTTTTTTTAAAAAAAAGGGAAAAAAAGAGGAGATTTGGGGAAGCTTTGCTTCCTCAGAGAACTTCTGCTGCTTTCAGCTCTAACTGTGGCCAAAGGAAACAAGCACAGCGAAACCTCCCCAGATGAAGATGCAGCCACACAGGAGGGTTGTTTTTTTACCTCTAAAGCAGCCACTCTGCCCATTTCCAGAGAAAGGAGCTGCATTCATTAAGGGACTGATTTTTGGAGAGGATATCAGAACATTTTGGGGTAATTCCCAGGTCTGAGGCGCTCTGGTTTGATTCCAGCAGTGCTCTCTATGCATCAGTGACAGATGAAGGGAGCTCTGTGCACTCTGGATGGCACCTGGATCAAAACTGCTGCACAAATCCACAATGTGAGGGGAAAATAATAATAATAATAATAATAATAATAATAATAATAATAATAATAATAATAATAATAATAATGAGCTGCACAGACTCCAATTATTCCCCTCCATCCTAAAAGGAAGACACATTTCAAGGTTCTTCACATCATTTTGTCAGGCTCCAGTCTCACTCGAGAACTTAATGAAGTGCAGTGGAACACAAGCAGCAGCAAAGAAATACAAATTCAGGCTGGAAACACAATGCAGTGCTCCTCAAAAGGCTGGAAAACAAAGTGGCAGGGGCACAATATGGGAGGCTGCAGCTAAAAAAGAGCAGGGGGGCAACAAGAGGCAAGCTGGAATGCATTTTAAAACTCAGTAAGAGCAGGTTTCATTTGGTTTATTTATTAAATATTATATATATATATATATATCTAATAGATATATATAATTAAATAGAATTTATTGTTGTATTTATTTATTTGAATGGGTTTATTTATTCAGAGAAGCTGTGCTGGTGGTGCTGCCCTCCCTGACATCCTCCCTGTAGAAGTCAAGAGCCTGCAAGAGGCTTCCTTGAACCAGTCCCACAAAGCTGAGACAAAACTCATCACAAAACTCATCCCCAAACTCACCCCAGAGAACCAGGAGCAATCAGCACCCACTCTCAACCTCAGAAATAACTCCCAGCTCCTCCTCCCAGCAGCACAGGGCCTGCAGCTCACCCCACTTGTGTTGCCACTTCTCTAAAGTTTCCTTTCTAAGCATCCAGCTGTGTTTAGCCCAAGCTTCTCGCCAAAAGGACGTAAAAAAAAAATAAATAAATCTGATATTGATTAGCAGGTCCCAATGTATTCAGAGAGAAATTGCACTGAAATGTTTTACAGAGAAGAAAAAAAATATATATAAAAATAACTGTTTCTTCTTTCCTCTTTCAAGTATTGATTTCCTAATCAAATAAAAATACCAAACCAAATGGTGGCAGCTCATTTTGGGACAAGGCTGACCCAATTCTCCTGCCAGGGGTCTTCTGGCACTCTCTGAAGAGCCAAAACATCCAGGACAAATCCCAGGCTTTTCTCAGCCCATTCTACCACAAATGGCTTTACAGAGGAGAGATCACCCTACAGAAATGTGGATTTTATTAGGTTTTACCAGCTCATTTCTCCTTGGAGCTCAGACCAAATGAGCCGGCGCTGCCCTTGGAGAATCCAACGTGATGAACATTCACAACATTTAAAAAACCAACCCCAAACCAGCCCAGATTATTCACAGATATCCTGGGAAAACCAATTTTTTACTGTCACAATCTCCTCCTGCTTCCATGGTGAGCCCCTGCTCATCCCATCATGGATGGAGCAACGTCCACCCTCAAAACCCCCAAGGAGAGCTCGACTCCATCTCCCTGTCCTGGCTAAAATCCCACCACAGAACGGTCCAGCAGCAAAAGTTCTGCTGGAAACAACTCCTCAGCTTTTATCCCTTGATTTTCCCATCCAAACTTTTGGGGAATACTGAGGATCAGCTTTTATACCCAACTTTACATCACACAGGACATCAAAATGCAGATTTTTCCCTTTTTTTAAACCTAGCTTCAGCTCACAGGGAGAAAGAAGAGTGGTTGGACTTCTCTGACTCCATTTTAATATAATAAATAGAAAAACTTATATAATAAATAGAGAACACATAGAAAACCCTGGAAATTCAGCAAAGAGGGGAAAAAAATAAAAAACTTTTTTGGCCTACAGCAGCATGTGTCAAAGCAGCCAAGTTCAAACCCAGAGAAATTTAAAAGTGGAAATGCAGAGCAAATCGTTGAGGGAATTAACACTGAAAGCTGCTGGAAAGAAATAGTCAGACTTTATTTTGAGTTTACAGCCTAATTATTTTCATATAGAATCTCTACATTGGGGTTTTCAAAAATGACTTCTTCAAAAATAATTGTTCCACTCTCCCAACTTTAGAGGTTTCTATTCCACAGCAGGCTTTGCACTGCCTGCTTCCATGGTTTTTCCCTGCCCTACCACTTCTTTTGGACTTTCCAGCACGATTATTTTCTCATAAAAACTATTTGAAAAGACACAAATACCATGAAATTGGGAGGAATGGGGTTCTATAATAAACTGATTTTTGAGAGAGGAGCTGGAAGGCCAAGCCCCTCCCGTGTCAGAGAAGGGATTCCAAGTTCCTGGATATGAAGGAGGAGAAGTGATTGTTCCTCTCACAAATTGCTGGGCTAAGCAAGGAAAGAATAGCTCCGTGTTATTTTATAAATGAAATGATTTCATCTGTTTCAGAATTAACACAAGAATGCTCCCCTATCACCTCCCCATCACCAGAGCAGGGCAGGACATGGGTGGGATTTAATTTCTTCAGCCTGATGCCAGATAAACTCCCCCCATCCCCTTTTCCTCAGCACCAACCAAGCCAACAACCCTTTGCACCAGGGGATTCCAGCAGGGCCCGGAGCTGAAAGCTGAGCTGATAATTGCAGGGAAAAATTTGCAGATCCACTTTTATATCCCTCTAAATAAATGAATAAAAAAATAATAAAATAAAAAAAAATAAAAGAGGGAGGAGGGGGGGTGGAAAAAAGGGAGGAAAGAGAGAAGAATATTTGGAGGTGAAGTGCAGCAGCACCCCAGTGTGCACTTGCCAGCCAGCCACAGACCTATAGATACAAGCTTGTGTGGAATATGAGCACAAGTTCGGATCTACGGGTTTGTGGCAGCAGGCTGGGATTTCTGCTCTCACTGCAAGGCTTTGGGGGTCACTTTTGGCGGGGGTGGAAAGAGGAAAAGCCTTTCTGCAAATGGAATTTTCAAGTTTTAACCAGGAGCCTTCGTTCTCTCAGCACCTTAAAGCACCTCCTTGGAGGGTGGGGGGCAGAGCAGTTGATTTTGTTATGACCTAAAGCCACAGATTCCTGCAATCCCACGGGAGCCTTAAGAAAATCAGCAAAATAAAATAAAGTTTTGAAGCAGCCAAAATCAAGCTGATCTGTGTTTCTTCCTCACAAGCGCTTTGCTGGACAGAATTTCTGGTGATTGCACAGCACTGAGGGTAACAGGAACTGAATTAACAGCATTGGAGGTATATCACTAAAACAGGGCAAGAAATTATCCAACAGCAAAATTTTTGGGATATAAACAGAATTCCAACACACAGCCATCCCCCCACCCTGCAAAGAGCTGTTTCCATTCTGGCAGCCTGGCTGAAGCAGGCTGGAGAAACAACTGCGGGAGAGTTGTTTTAACTTTCAGAGAAGTCATTACTGGGCTGGGGTTCCACTTGAATTCTATTTTTAAAGGCAAAAACCAAAACCCCTGTCACTCTGCTAACCAAGCTGGAAATTCCCCCTAACCCTGCATCTCCTCCACACAGACAAATATAAAATTTCTTTGGGATTTTTCTAATAAAGCTTGAAAAGCAAAGTTTTGCCACCGCAAGCGGGAGGCGTCCCCTCCTTCCCCTGAGGTTTCCAAGTTTCCTTTCCTGCATCAGGGATATTTCCCATTTTATTGGTGGGGAATCAGGCTGGAGAGGAGCCTGGCTGTGAGCCCTACATGGAGCTGCTGGAGAAAATCCCCGAGATCAACTCTTGCTCAAAGTGTCACCAATTTTTCACTTCTCTTCCTTCAGGAGACAAACCATATTAATGCAAGTTAATATTATCCTCTGTAAAATCAAACAGGCACCACTTGGAAAAGAATTTTGCTATTTGGATGCTGTTAGAAAATTCTCCTTTTTTTATATATATATATTTATTTTTTTTTTGGTGCAGGTTCTTAAAATAAATCACTTCAACCTTTCCAGCCTGGTAAATATGCAATTATAAAACACAATTTTCCTTTATTTGGAATCACTGGGTGGCAAGAATCTCCTGTTATAGATGTTAAACTTTCACCATCTGCCCAAAGGTTATCTAAATCCATCCTCCAAGTTTAGATTCCTACTCACCTCTAAAGTGTCCAGCTTTTCCCCAAAGTTTTCAGCAGCCAAAGAATTCGTGCTGCAGCATCTTTGAAAATCCGGGATGGCTTTGCTGTTGGAATTTTGGGGTGGAGAAAACTCTGTCCCTGCAGTGGTCAAGGCTGGAGCGGGGCAGGGAGCAGAGGGATTGTGCCCTCCTTGGGAACAGAGCTGCAAATGGAACACAACAAATGTTACCCGGCCAAAAATAACCCCAGGCCTTCACTACAAAGCTCATTTATTGCAGGGAACCTGAGGTTAAAACCCAGGTTGTCCAACAGGGCCTAAAGGTAAAATATTGGGGGGCAGCTGTTGCTGGGTGCAGCAGGGTTTCTTGCCGTGGCAGGGAATTCTCCCCTCGGTCTCACTGTGTTATGCAAAGCTGCAAAATCAGGCAGAATGTTTTCTTTATGGCCAGTACATTTATTTTAACCCTAATATTCTTTTCATTCAGTTCTGTGGATGAAGTGAGCTAATTTCAATGGCTCTGGCAGAGATACACTTGATTTTTTCGTATGAGACGATCTCACTGAAATACCCAGGGTAGGGGGGGAGGTTACATTTTCCTCACTTTATCTATTCCCAAAACTTTTATTTTTTATTTTTTTTTTCTCTTTGCCATGAACTCCCTAACCTCCTTTCCCTGGGTTAAATCCTTGAAGGACACCAAGCTGTAAAATTTGGGTGTTTTTTGCCCGGAGGGAACACCTAGAGCCAAACCTGAGCCAGACCTTGGAGGAGCCTGGCACATGCTCCAGGAAATCTGGGATTTCTTGGGATAAACCCACCCTGTTTTCCCTGCCTAAAGGAGGGCTGATCCCTGCTGCACCTCCCACTCCCCACCTGATTGGCTTTTCCAGCACAAAAGGGAAGAAGGAGAATTGGGATCCATGGCCAGAGGTGGGGGGGGAAAAAAAGGGAGAAAAAAGGTGGAAAGCAGCAAAAGCTATCCCAGGAAAAGGGATATCCCAAATAAATCCCCACTATAAATCTGATTGTGCCTCTGTGCATTGCTGAGAGCCCTGGATGAACAGGGCACAGGGATAGCATTCCATGGAATGGATGGAAAGTACAAATATCCAGCTCTTTTCGGGAAACAAACTCATGGGCAAGCTTTAAGACAGCAAATTGAGAAATGCAGCAGCAAACCAACAGTTTTGTTTGTTGAAAAATGCAGATTTTTAATTTTTTTAATTAATTTTATTTTTTTTTAATGAGCTCTGCTTTTTAAACAGGAATTTCACTTGTATCCAATATATTCAGGGGGATTGAAAGAGAGCCATGGATTTTTCCAAGATGTGGGGTTGGAAACGTTTTTCCCCCATTGCTTGATCCCACAGCTCTTGTGAAAACCTGATGAACATACACACAGTGGCAGAAAATCCATCAGAGCCAAACAAATCAATTGGCATCAGCCTGTATTTGCCTCAGACTCTAAGATTACAAATAAAAAGTTTCAACCTGTGCATTAAGGTATTTATATTTAGGTTTTTTGATATCCTTATACTGAGCACACTCATTTTTAATTTTACAATATCAGTGATCACAGGATCAACAAGGCTTTGGTACGTGGCACAGCCGAAAATACAGAATATTTCTGTCAGTAACAACCCAATAGAAAACTGATATTTTAGAGATTTATAGCCAAAGGAATACAGAGGGAAATATGGAGAAATAAAATCTCTGAAGAGCTAACATTGGGGTTTGGTCTGTGGGTGGTTTTCTTGCAAACCACAAAGCAGAAATGCCCTGTCCAGGAAAATCGATCATTACGGAATGCATTGTGTGCCTGAGCAAAAAGCTGTTTGCAGCCATTTCGTCCCGAAATTCAGGCAAATAAGAAACACAACTGTGAAATAATTCCCATTCTTCTCCCCACAGTTTTAACCCCAATATAATTAGGCCTATATATATATATATATATATATATATATATATATGTATATATATAATATATGCACACAAACATGCACTCTTATCCTAGCTTTAAAGAGAAACTCTAAGGATTTCTGTGCTTGACGTGATTTTAAGGAATTAGAAGGGAAAGCAGAAGGAAAAGGCAGATACTGAGAATCCAAATTACCTCAGCAGCAGCAGCATTCTGCAGGATTTCCTATGGAACGTGCGCTGCCATATTGCTAGGCCCAACTCCTCTGGAACGTTTTCTGGAAGACAAAATATTTATGGATATTTTCATGGCATATTTTCAAGGAATGGATGCTGTTTTGCTACACCCAGAGGCTACAGCTTTAGGAGCAAAAGGAACAGCCAAGCTCCTACGAGATAAATTACTCCCCCCTCCCAATATCCTCATTTTAAATCGGTTTTTTTTTGGATGATTCTTTCCCGTGTTCCACCTTGGATCGACCCACTCGCGGCTCTGCCCCCCAGGCGAGGAGTTCAACCCGTGGAAATAAAACATTCCTTGCAGCACAACCACTCCAGAAGTTTGCCAGTCCTATTCCCACCAAACCCATCCAGGAAAAGAAAGAAACGGGGAGGCAAACGCCTTCCCTGGCAGTCAGTAACGCGCACCAACTCCTGAAAGTGATTAATTCTCATCTCCAGAGCCTTAAACCCAAAGTCCAGCTGGAGAAAGCAGAATCGAAGAGGAGCATCGTTACCTGCTCTGGAGGAGGTTCACCAAGCAAGCTTTTTTTAAGCTTGTTGACTCTTTTAACACTGATACAAGGAATAATTATTTCTCTGTGCCGACGCGATTGTTAAAAGAGGAGAAGCCCCGGATTGTGGTGGCTCCGTGGATGCTATTCTTTTTGCACCACAGCAGGATTCTTGGCTGCCAGTCCAAGCTGCTTTCACTTGCCAAGTTTTAAGATGCCGGTTTTGCCTTTCATTTTATTGTTCCTTTCGTAACGTTAAAGAGCGACTTAAAAAAAAAAAGAAAAACAACAAAACCGCCCCCCCCTATGCACAGCTGCTATCGGGGAGGGGGGGAATTATTTGAATTTTGCACAAGAATGGAGATGAGGAAGGAGAGAGCTGTGATGTAACCACAACGACACCCACAGAAATATTCCCAATATTGGGGGGGACGGGCCGGCTCCCGATCCTGGCGTTTCCCCACCGCCAGGAAAACGGGGAAGAGGAAAACCTAAAAGCAGCCAGACCCATGAGCAAGCACGGCAGAGCTGATGCTTCTCCCCCCTCTCAGCACCACCACCTCGATTTTTAATCCACTCCAGGCTGTTCCTCCCCAGCGAGGGTTTCATCCAGGGGGTGCAGGCTGGAGAGGTTGGGGAGCAGCTCCTGACAAAAGGATTCCCCCCCTGCACACCTCCTCCCAGCCACCCTTCTTCCGTGACAGGATTCACCCATTCCCAAACATCCCGGCCTTTCTTGGATGCGATGCCACCGGGAAGAAGCTCCATGGAAAAACCTCCTGTCCCAGCTCCCTGCGGGGTCCTCCTCCAAACACATTCCTTCAGCGTAAGCCACTGAATTCCATTTTAACCATTTTTTTTAATAATTTGCCAATAGATCAATTTTATTAATTTTCTGTTTTTATTTTCCTTTTTAATTTTTTTTTTAATTTTTTTTAAAATTTTTAAAATTTTTATTTTTTTTTAACCATTATTATTTTTTCAATCCCCAGCTTCGCCACCGAGGAGTTGATTTATTTCATTTTCCTTGACGTAGCTACAAAACTCCCGGGACTGGTGCCAAAGCTCGAGCGCATTTAAAATGAACAAACAGCAACAAAAAAAAAAAATTAAAAAAAAATAAAAAAATTGTTTGTGATCCTTCTCGGGCCGGAATATTAAAAGCATGATGGGGGTTATGCTCTGTGTATGCTACAAAGTGCAGCACAATGGAACTCTGAGCAACCACTTGGTGCTGCAGATGTTGGAGGGACACAAACTCCAGATGTGGGCAGGGAAAATCCCCGCTCGGTTCCTTGGCTTCCCTGCACGGACAGACACAAAACCCCGCTGGACACAGCTCCTTTTCCCACTGCAGAGGTGCTCGATTATCCCAAAAATGGGAGCTGTTCCCAGCCCACAACATCCGAGGTGCAAACAGCAGCTGCTGGCTGTGCAGAGCTTCTCACGAGCAGATGAAGCCACCCCCCAATTTCATATTTGAAGGGAAAACCCAGCCCGACTCCAAAGTTTCCACCGAGTCTCGGAGAAAAGCAGCGTGAATTAATAAAAGGAGGAAAGAAAAACAGAAGCTTTGTTCTAAAGTGGAAGCAGAAGATGTGAAATTTCAAAATCAGATGGCTCGGGCTGTGATTTCTTTCATTTAAATGAATTGATCTGTTGCTAAACTGCTGCTCTGGTGCCAAGAAAACTTTTAACTCCTTCGGCTCAAAGCCTGCAGCGTTTTGCTGTTCCCTCTCTCCTCCCAGCCAGAAAGAGATTAAATCAGAGGGAAGAAGTGAAAAAGGGAGTGGGGAAGAAAAAAAATCGGATAAAAAGGATGGGGGGATGAAACCCACATGCAGAGCACAAAGGAGCCCCGGTGCTTCGGGAGAACTTCTGGACAAACAAGGAGGTTCTGCCTCCTGCAGCGTTCCTGAGCCTTGGAGAGGAGGCAGAAAGGCCTTGGAGCTCCAGAACTCCGGGGTGAAACCACCAGCAGCAAGGAAACCCCCAAAATCCCTGAAATCCCTGATCTGACTCGTGGCAAACCTTCACTTACCGAGAACGCCAAAGCACTTCCAACAGAACCCCCTTCCCTACACGTGTGGAAAAGAAAGACAAAAAAATGCTCTCAAAAACAGCCCTTCCCCCCTCCAAAAAATAGCTGCTTTGGTAAAATTTGGGTGAAAGTCCCTACTGCTTTTCCATTTGGTTTTGGGGTTGTTTTGCCCGCTTAAAAAAATAATAATAATAATAATAAAAAATGGAATTAAAAAAAATTTGGAGATGCGTTGTAATTAGAGGTAATTCCAGGGGAAAAATATTTATGTGTTGAACAAAAAAAAAACCAAACACAAAAAAAACCCCCAAAAAACAAAACAACAAGGAAAAAAAAAAAACACCAAAGAAAGGGAAAAGAAAAAGATATTTCTATATTTTTATATCTCCCACTTTCTGCTGCAGTTTCCCCCTAAACTGCTGCTGCTTGCTCCAATCTGCTGCCTGCTTAACAACGGAATGACAGGCAACATCTGTTTGTATAGAAGCCAAGATCAAGCCTTCAAAATGTTTTTTGGCTCAGTTTCTTTTTTTTTTCCCCCCTTTTCTACCCCCTCCCCTTGGAAGAAGAAAAAAAAATAGAAGCAAAAGAAAAAGTAAAAGCGCCCAGGAAGATTTTGAAACAACTCAAGTGAGGCTGCAACTCTTTTCTCCTTGAGTTATTTCAAGGTACAGGACTTGGAGGAGAACTCTGCTTTTCTCCACCCTCCTCCCCTGCTCTCCCCACCCTTCAGCCTGTCGCTTGCCCCATGCTATTAATAAAGTATCACACAAACTGGGGGGGGAAAAAAAAATATAATCCAACGTACCTTGATCCCTAAAAGGCCACTCCCTCCTATGGGAGGGAGGGGGTTCTTCAGGAGGCAACTAAAAAAAAATGCACAGGGAAGGGAAAATGGGATTCAGGGACAGGCTTGTCCCAATCCTCTCACCCTGGTGGGTTTTTTGTTTTGGTTTTTTTTTTTCCTCCTCTCCTTCATTTTATAGACAGTTAAATATATTGTTTGCAAAATCAAAGGGGTTGTGATGAAATTTTTAAAAAAATAAAAAAAAAATAAAAAAATGTGGGTGATTAAAATAAGTTAAAAAAGAAAAAAAAATTTAAAAAAAAATAATAATCAGCCCAGCTCCAAATGCAATTCCAATGAGTAACAATGTCAGGCTACTGCCAATTCTGTGGCAAATGGGGAGAAAGCACAATAATTCCACATGCTGAGATGTGAACAACTGGACAGGAACCAACTCTCGGGAAGTCACAATGAAAACTGTCCCAGCGCCCCCACCCCCAGCCCCTCTGCCGTCCTTTTCGGAGGGTACAGGGGGGATTCTCTCCAGGGGGAGGGAAAAAAAAGATTAAAAAAAATGGAGCCACTAATTTAACAAAAGGAAAAGGCAAAACAACACCGAGACCATCGATGGAAGCGGTTTAAAAACTCAGGGAATGTTTTATTCGCTGGAGATTTGGGACAAGGCTGCTGCATGCACATGTATGAAAAAAAAAAAAAAGGGAAAAAAAAATGAAAATAATCAGACAAGTTGCTAAGGAGACTTGTGTAAACTGGGAATCCAGGCACATTTCTGGCCTTTCCCCCCATATTCCATCTCGTATTCCGATCACGCACCACTGCGGCACGATTGCACCAATGCACTGCATTAATCTTGGCCTTAAACGGGGCTGCCTGGCAGAGCAGAGCCTGTGTATGGATCATCTTTCAAACTTAACAAGTTAAAGGCAGCCAGGGTGGCGGTGGGTGGGGAGGGCTGGGGGGGCGGGGACCTCGCTGCTGAATATAAAATATAGGAGCCCAGCTTAGTAAGGGAATTTTAAAGAGGAAGTGTTATCCGGGCTGATACAGAACGCTGCGAGGCTCTCGCTGCGTCTCTCCCTCTCTCTCTCTCTCCCACTTCTCCTGACAAAATCCCCGTTCCCTGGCAGATGTCTGACTCCCTGCCAGATCTAACAATGTCTGACCCACTCAGACACTGGGCTTGGCTCTCCCAGCACGCTGGGGTCATCTGTCCCTATGGAACACCCTCTCCTTCCTCCCCCTTGGTGCCCGTGCCCAAAGCAGGCACTTGGATGTAGTATTTTCACCTTCCACTTTTAGGAAGGGGCAGATGGAATCAAAGCCTGAGCTATTTGTGTGTGGTGCCTGCTGGCCTTGTCTGGGACAGGATTAAACTTGGTGGGGTTTTCTGGTTTTTTTTGTTGCTCCTTGGTTTGGGTGCAGGAAATTCATCTCTCTTTAATCCTTCCCTCTCTTCCCCATCCCAACTGCTCTCCTGCTGAGGGACAGCTCAGGGGGAGTGTTCAGCACCTGCTTCTCCTGCTCCTTCTGTGCCCTGCTTTGGGGGAGATGAGGATTTCCATCCTCACACGAGAATCCAGGACTCTGCAAAACCAACAGCAGCGCACACGAATTGAAAAACAATTTCATGGGCTGTGCCTCGGAGCCTCATCCCACTGCCAGCTCCAAGGAAAAGCCTTCCCATGGCAGGGACTGGAATGAGGTGGGGTTTAAAGTCCCATCAAACCCGAGACCTTTCTGGGATTCTCTGAGTGAGGGGTGGTGCTGAGGGCAGCACATTCCAAAACAGGAACCCAAAGCTCCCTAAGGAGCGTCATCCTTGCTTTCTACCCGGGACAAAAGCACAGGAGAGGGAATTCCCTGTGCTCAGCCTCAGGGGGTTCCCTGTGGATGTCACCCCAGGCAGGAGAAGCATTCCATGAGGGGATCCACGTTTGACTCACCTGACTGCTTGTCTTGGTTTGGGAGAAAACACCTAAAGGAAAAATACCAAACCAACAAGTTAAAACTGTTCGTTTGAGATTTGCCTTTTTCCCTAAGTTAGGGAAAAAGCAGAAATCATCACAAAACATGATTTCCAAGCTCTTCTCTGAGTTAAAGCACACAAAAGAAACATTCCCCTTTCCTCAGCTTGCTCAGTTCCTTTGTACAGGTTGGTGTTTCTGTCCCAAACCCAAAATGTGGGGTTGAGGCACCTCCCTTGAGGTCCACACACTTAGAGCTGGAATGAGGTTTAAGGGGTTGTTGAAGGTTTTCCCTTCCACAGCAGAGGAGAGGGATCAAGCCACAGCTCCTCATGTCCACAAAAAACCAGTTATTTTAACTTAAAATCAGTGAAATTGGTAGCTAAGCAGGCTCTGAGCTGGGCTGGGGCTGCCCACACCCCTCTGTCCCCTGGGGGAGCTGCCTGCAGACCTTCAACCAGCCCAGGAGAGCAGGGAAAACATTCCTTGCCTTTGCCTCTAGCCAGCCACCTGCAGCTCTCCTTTGAAAGCCTCACCCTGCAAAGCAGAAACCTCCAGCTCTGCTGGGGCTGGCTCAGCCCTTCCGAGCCCTGGAAAAGCACCGAGCCCTGAGCAGCCCCAAAAAGGAG